TATATATATATATTTGGCAGTTATATTGTAATATGAGGGACATTTATATGGGCAGAGGCACACATGGGAGGGACATGAGAGGGATGCATGTTGTGGGGTGGGGACTGGAAGGAACAACTTTCTGAGATGCCCAGGAAACTCTGTTCGTGGCCCAGATCCTGCGTTTCATGGGTGACCCCCACCTGCATGGTGCCCGGGAGAACATCTTTGGGAACTACATTGTGCAGAAGGGGCTGGCGGTGCCTGAGCTGCGGGACGAGATCCTGGCACAGCTGGCCAATCAGGTGTGGCACAATCACAATGCCCACAATGCTGAGCGGGGCTGGCTGCTGCTGGCCACCTGCCTCAGTGGCTTTGCACCTTCCCCGCGCTTCAACAAGTACCTTCTCAAGTGAGTGGGACTGGGCAGGGGCTGGGACATGAGGGACGGTGGCACCAGCAGTGGGGTCCAAGTCGGGGTCTTAAAGGTCAGGCCAGGAGTCATATCTCTGTGCTGGGAAGCTCAGGCATGGAGGCCGGCCAGGGGCTGCTATGCGTTTCTACTGGGCTCAGAGCAAGAAAGGAGGGCAGGCCTTCACTGCAGGGGCTAGGAGTTAGGTCAGACTGGATGAGGGACTTCCAGAACTCAGAGTGGGACAAGACCGGCATGTGGGGAATTTGGAAAAGAGCATTGACCTCTCACAGCATGAGAGTTTAGTGGGGTGATCAGGAGCATGGATGCTGGACTCAGACAATCAGGGTTCAAATCCCAGCTCAGCCATATGAACTGTGTGACCTTGGGTAAGTTACTTAACCTCTCTGGGCTTCAGTTGCCTTACATATCAAATGGGGGTTATTCTTGTATAGTTTATAAGTGTGATAATTGACTTTTCATGCTCAGGCATGAGATGTGTCACCCTCAAACCTTGCTAAAACATCAGCACGAGACCAGGCACAGTGGCTCATACCTGTAATCCCAACACTTTGGGAGGCCAAGAAGGGAGGATCGCTTGAGCCCAGGAGTTCAAGGCCAGCCTGGAAAATGTATCCAGACCTTCTCTCTGCAAAAAATTTAAAAATTAGCCAGGCGTAGTGGCACACACATGTAGTCCCAGATACTCAGGAGGTTGAGGCAGGAGTATTGCTTGAACCCAGGAGGTTGAGGATGCAGTGAGCTAGGATCATGCCACTTACACTTCAGCCTGGGCAACAGAGCAAGACCCTGTCTGATGTTAAAAAAAATAGCATAATGATAGTACCTACTTCATAGGCTATTGTGTGGATAAAATATATAAACACACGTGAAGTGCTTAGAACAGAGAGGGGCACATGGTAGGTGCTATGTGGGTATAACCATCACAATGATGTCACCCTGCTGGATGAGAAGGATGATTTGCAAGGAAATCACACAGGCAGGCCCTGGGTGTGAATCTCAGCTTTGATACTTACCTGCTGTGTGGCCTGAGACAAGTCACTGCCCCTCTCTGAACCTGTTTCTCCCTTATAGTTTGGGGATGGCAACAGAACCCACCTCCGTGAGTTACAGAGTGTACAGACTCTTGCTCAGACCAGCATGCAGCAGGTGGACATCACCTGGCCAGTCTTGTGACTCCATGGCAGCTGACAGCAGGGTAGGGCCATTGCTGGCCTGCCTGCCTGGGGCTTTCCTGAGGGCATGATGCTAGGTTCCCTCTCTAGCTACTGTGGGCCTGCACCAGTGCTGCTCTTGGCCAGGCTTAGCTGCAGGGGGTGTAAGATGTTGGGGTGAGGGAAGCATGAGGAATGACTGGTAGGGATTGGGCTCATTGGGCCTGGGTTGAGTTGAACCCTCAGCCGTCCCTTTTATAGATGAAAACTTGGAGGAGAGGCTCAGAGGGCAGATAACCACCCAAGGTTGCCCTGTGAGAGAGTGAAGACAGAGTTCTGGTTGTTGCCCACACCCAGCTGCAGACCCCATCCTGTCAATGACATTTTATTCCAACCAGCTGGAACCTCTTTGGCCTATCCTTGGACCTCTGTGCTGGCCTGAGATACTTCTGGACTAGCCTGGGACCCTTTCAGTTTAGCCATGGGACTCTAAACTAAACTGAGATCTTTTGTAAGCTAGCCTGGGACCCCTTAAATGCAGTCCCAGAGCACTGGACTCTAGCCTGGGACCCTTCTGAACTAGCCTGGGGCCTTCGCAGCCTCACCTTGGAGCTCTGGGATAGCCTGGGCCTTTCTCGAACTAACCTCAGAATTTCCTACCCCCACCCCGCAGCCCCCAGCCCCCAGCTAGCTTCAGATCCCTCTTGATCCCGGCTCCAACTCCTACCCATCAGGTTTGTGTCTGATTATGGGCGGAATGGCTTCCAGGCTGTGTGTCAGCACCGCCTCATGCAGGCCATGGGCCGGGCCCAACAGCAGGGTTCGGGGGCTGCCCGCACCTTACCCCCGACCCAGCTCGAGTGGACAGCGACCTATGAGAAGGCCAACATGGCACTGGACGTGGGCTGCTTCAATGGTAAGCTGCCTTCTCTCACCTCAGTGAGGGCAGTGGGAGTCAGCAGGGCCCAATGAGCCCTGGGGGATGGCAGAAGCCACTGGATGCTCTGGAGCTGGGGAGGGGCCTTCTCAGATGTGGCTCTGCGTGAAAGTCTGTGTGGGGCTGGTGGGACCTGGCCCAGGAAAGGGGAGCCAGGGAAGTGAGGCTACAGATACAGGAAGCCTGAGAGGAAGAAGCAAGCAGGGAGATACAGCCAAACTGGACTCAGATGCTCCAACCTGAGCCCAGCACCTGCTGCGCCCCAGGTGACCAGTTCTCCTGCCCGGTGCACTCCTGGAGTACGGGAGAAGAGGTGGCTGGAGACATTCTGAGGCACAGGTTGGCTCCTAGGATGCCCTCCCAGCATACTCTTATGTACCTGGAATGTTGTGGGGGGAGGTCAGATCCCCCAGAGGGTCCCATAGGGTCCACTCTGTTCATGTTTAGAGTCTGGCTTATAACCCAGGATCTCCCCAGGTAGTGCCTGACGACTCTGTGCCTCATTTCTATTCCTGTGCATGCCATCACCAGGGGGCTGGCAGATGGCTGGCGTGGCTGGACTGTGGCCATGAAGAATGGTGTCCAGTGGGCAGAGCTGGCTGGCCACGACTATGTGTTGGACCTGGTGTCGGACCTGGAGCTGCTCAGGGACTTCCCTCGACAGAAGTCCTACTTCATTGTGGGTGCAGAGGGGCCTGTAACCAGCAGGGGAGGCCCCAAAGTGTAGGTAGCTATGGGGTACCCCCTCACAGATGGCCACTCCCAGGCAGAAGGCCTGCCCCTCCCAGCTGCTGGGACAGGCTGAGCCCGGAACTTAGACTTCAGGTTCTTAAGGAGGTAGAGTTCACCAAAGGATCCTGCTTTTAAAGGGAGAAAGTCACCCAATTCTGGGGTGCAGAGGAAAATTTGGGGGATTCTGGGATCTCTCTCAAGGTTAGCAGCTCCACGTTCCTTTTCCCCACAGGGTGTTTGGGAACAGCTGGGACTCGGATGAGGACACACCCACTAGACCCCAGCCCCAGGAGCACATGCACGAAGTACCTGACTCTGATGGGTACAGCAGCCACAATGAGGATGGCACAAATGGGGAGACTGAGGCCCAAAGAGGGACAGCAACCCACCAAGGTCAACCAACAATGGCTGCTGTCTGTGGTGGGAAGGGAGCCTTAGAGGCTGTGTGGGGTGGAAATCATCAAGAAAAAAGAACTTGATATTTTTGTGCCTTCCCCTCCAGAGTCAGACAGTCTTGGAGAGCCTGCTGTGCCCCACAAGGGGCTGGACTGCTACCTGGATAGCCTCTTCGACCCCGTGCTGTCCTATGGGGATGCGGTAGGGATGGTGTGGGGCGGGTCATTTGCAGACAGGAGGCACAGCATGTACACCCAAGTCACACACTTGTACAGGGTGACCTGAGAGCTTCTCACAGTCAGGGTCATGGGGTGGTATGTCCCATCTGGGTATCTGCTGGAGGCTGGACAAAGGATGAGGGTCTCTTCACAGCTAGAGATGCTCTTGGCTGATCCTGGAAGGACCCACAGTTAGAAGTGCACCTCTAGCCAGGCGTGGTGGCATGCCTCTGTAGTCCCAACTACTTAGGAGGCTGAGATGGGAGGATCATTTGAGCCCAAGAGTTCGAGGCTGCAGTGAGCTGGGATCGCACCACTGTGCTCCAGCCTGGGCAACGGCAAGACCCTGTCTCAAAAAAAAAAAAAAAAAAAGGGAAGAAGTGCACCTTTGTTGGGAGCCAGCCCCCTGGGGCCACTAAAATATCTCTATCTGGATGGAGTTGAATGACCTTGGTCCCTGGGTCTTCTGGCCCCAGATCTCGTGATACCCCTCAGATACCCTTGCTCACTCTGGAAATTCCAGAACCCACCCCACCCCGACTGCCCCGGCATGATATGCAGCCCTGAGCAGGGCACAGCCCCTCCTTGAGCCTCAGTTTACTCCTCTGGGGAAGAGGGGATGGGTTGGGAGCGCACATGGTTATGGGGAGGACTGATTGGGATGCCATCAGGGTAAAGGCTGAGCATAGAGCAGACACTGAGCCAGCAGGAGGCCGCCCCCCCCCCACACCAGAGGATGGGGAGATGGCCAGTGTCAGGTGCCTGTTGCCATGGAACCTTGGGAGTACAACATTGAGATGGTCACTTGAGCCACCTACTGCCCCCAGGACCTGGAGAAGCCAACAGCCATTGCCTACCGAATGAAAGGGGGAGGCCAGCCCAGTGGAGGCAGCAGTAGTGGTACTGAAGACACCCCCAGGAGACCCCCAGAGCCAAAGCCAAGTCAGTGCCTTCCCCGGGTGGTTCCAGGGTTGGGCAGGGCCAAAGCCACTTGCCGGTCCTCAGGCACCTTTGTTTGCTAGAATGGAGGCAGCCACAGCATGATGGGGGGTGAGAGGACAGGGAGGAGGGCATCTCCGGTGCCATCTGTGCCTTCTGTCCCCTCCCCTCAGTCCCAGGCCTGGACGCCTCCACATTGGCTCTGCAGCAAGCTTTCATCCACAAACAGGCCGTGCTGCTGGTGAGTGAGGGAGGGACTGCTGGGGAGTGGAGAATGGACCTGCCTGGTCACCACGGCCACCTCTCCCCAGGCCCGGGAGATGACCCTGCAGGCCATGGCGCTCCAGCAGCAGCCCCTGAGTGCTGCCCTGAGATCCTTGCCCACAGAGGTGAGTCTGGCCTGCCCGGGGTGCAGGGGTTGCTTGGAGGCACAAGCTGTAAAGAGGAGCGCTGTGCTGCTCCAGGGCACTATTGTGCCTCTCTGAGCCCAGGAGCTCCACAACCCATCTTTGACAGAGATCTGGGGTCCCAGAGAGCAGCCTGGTGTATCCCAAGCAGCCCATCCTCACGTCCTGTTCTCCACAGAAATCCCCAGCACCAGAGGCACAGCTGAAGTCTGTAGGCATGGGTCCCCCTGCCAAACCCGTGCTCCTGCGTGTCACTCCAAAGCCCTTGGCTCCAGCCCCTCTGAAGGCTCCAAGGCTCACCACTAAGCCTGTGGCTGCCCCTGTTCTAGCTCAGGATCAGGCTTCTCCAGAAACCAGTGAGTGCCCTATCCCAGCCTCTGGGGCTTCCCAGGACAGGCCTGGGGGTGTGGTTGTGCCCCTTGTGGCCTCACCCTGTTCCCACCACCCGCCCTTGCCCACAGCTTCACCCTCCCCAGAGTTGGTCCGGTACTCAACGCTCAACTCTGAGCACTTCCCACAGCCCACACAGCAGATCAAGAATATTGTCAGGCAGTACCAGCAGCCATTCCGGGGAGGCCGGCCCGAGGCCCTCAGGTCAGCACTGCCCCCGCCCCCAGCGCTCCAGCCCCCTCACTGTGCCTGAGTGTCCATCATGGCCCACCAGCTTACTGAGTTGAAACACCCTGCCCAGCTCCTGTTAGGGAGGAAGTTTGTTTATACTGTTGAGTCCAGATGAAGCCCTGCTGTTGTCTAGGTTGTGCTGTAGGACTTCAGGCCAGTCTCTGCTTCTCCCTGGATTCTCATTTATAATGATGGGGGAGTGGTGGTGGAGGAGGAGGATGTTTCCTACTGTCAAACTATGTGACGGGAAAGAGAGACTCAGTGTCAACCCACCACAGTACTCCAATGCCCACAGGAAGGATGGCGGGAAGGTGTTCATGAAGCGGCCAGACCCCCACGAGGAGGCCCTGATGATCCTGAAGGGGCAGATGACTCACCTGGCAGCTGCACCTGGCACCCAGGTGAGGGGGAGGGTGGGGCTGGTCCCAGGTGGAACAGAAGACAAAGAGGGGCCTCAGGGATCCTCAGAAACCAGCTACCCCATAAGCTGTGGCCCTGCCACTGCCCCTCCACAGGGCCTGCCTGTTGCCCCCTGAGCAGTCTCTTTGGGGTGGGACAGGTGTCCAGAGAGGCCGTGGCCCTGGTGAAGCCGGTGACCAGTGTGCCAAGGCCATCCATGGCACCCACTTCAGGTGAGAGGGCCAGGGGGGAAGGAGGGGAGGGTGTCCAAGTATATGAGGAAGTCTGTGGGCACAGGTGAGTGTGTCGGTGGAGTGTGTGTGTCTGTGTCCCTGAGCCCCTGTGTACATCTTGTGAGCACATTGGTGTAATTATAATATCAACACTTAAGTAGCACAGATCTCAGGCCAGGCCTATCCTAGCTTATGTAACCCTACCAGAACCCTTTAAGGTAGCACTGTTGTTCCCACATGTTGCAGATGGGGAAATGGAGGCACAGACAGGTTAAGCGGCTTGCCCAAGGTCACACAGCTCAAAAGTGTCAGACCAGGGATGTCAGCTCAGGCCTCCTGGCATCACAGTTGGAGCCCTAACCTCTACACCCTCTGTCTCTCGGCAGCCACAGTGATCTTAACAGCTATAAAGCAGTTCCCATCCTGCGCCTGACAAACATGCCTGATGGCTCCTACAATAAGCTCCAAACTCCTCACTGTAGCCTATGAGACACTGCATGATGTGCCCACCTCCCCAGCCTCATCTCTCTGCCTCCCCTTGCCACATTCTGTTCCTCTCTGTTCTCGGAACACTCCAAGCCCACTTCTGCCTTGCATGTTTCCTGTGCCTAGAATGCTCTTCCCCAAGACCTTTGCATGCCTGGCTCCTTCTCACCATTCATGTCACAGCTCAAGTGTCACCTCTGTCACCTCAGCAAGGTCTGCCTAGACTGCTAGGAGTGAAGGGCCTCACAGACCAGTTCGCCAGGGTCTGTCCTAAATCACCCTCCTTTACTGCCACCCCAGCCTTGGGCAGTGAGAGTTTTGTTTCTGAATGATCTGTGCCACCCACACCTGCCATGGGCACTAAACTCCAGGGCAGGGGCCTTGTCTACTTTATTTGCAGGGCCATCTCAGCCTTTAACCCAGGCCTGTATACAATAGTTGTTTTGGTGGGGCACAGTGGCTCATGCCTGTAATCCCAGCACTTTGGGAGGGCGAGGCAGGTGGATCACGAGGTCAAGAGATCGAGACCATCCTGGCCAACATGGTGAAACCCCTTCTATACTAAAAATACAAAAATTAGCTAGGCGTGGTGGCACGCACCTGTAGTCCCAGCTACTCGGGAGGCTGAGGCAGGATGATCGCTTGAACCCGGAAGGCGGAGCTTGCAGTGAGCCGAGATGGAGCCACTGTACTCCAACCTGGGCGACAGAGCAAGACCCTATCTAAAAACAAAAAAAACAAAAAAAAAAAAAACAAACAAAAAAACCAAATCCAACAGGTGTTTTTATGTGTTGAATGAAAGGCTGGGTCATGTGTGACCCTTGTGAACAGCTGTTTCTGTGGACCACCCCTGGGTCCCCTCCTCCACCCGCCTTGCCTCTCCCACTTCATCCTAAGAGGTTCCTGTGGCCAGGCGCAGTGGCTCACACCTGTAATCCCCTTTGGGAGGCCAAGGCGGGCGGATCACCTGAGGTCAGGAGTTCGAGACTAGCTGGCCCAACATGGCGAAACCCCATCTCTACTAAACATACAAAAAATTAGCCGGGCATGGTGGCGGGCGCCTGTAATCCCAGCTACCCAGGAGGCTGAGGCAGGAGAATCGCTTGAACCTGGGAGGCGGAGCTTGCAGTGAGCTGAGATTGCGCCACTGTACTCCAGCCTGGGCGGCAACAGCGAAACTACGTCTCAAAAAAATTAAAATTAAATTAAAAAATGAGGTGCCTTCTCCTGCCTCCCTGACCCCCGCGCTCCCCAGCTCTGCCCTCGCGGTCGCTGGAGCCCCCTGAGGAACCCATGCAGACGCGGCTGCACCGCCTCATCAACCCCAGCTTCTACGGCTATCAGGACGCCCCCTGGAGGATCTTCCTGCGCAAAGAGGTGCAGAGCACGGCCAGAGCCAGGGGAGGGGTTGAAGCGGGGTAGAGGAGTGTCTAGGACTTGGGGAGCGAGCCCAGGACAGAAAAAAGCCGGGCTGAAGCCAGGGGTGGAGTTAGAGCCGGAGCAGAGCTGCATCTAGGGGGCGAGGCCGGGTGTGAAGCATGGGGAGGGGGCAGTCGGAAGGTACCCACTGAAGCCCCGCCCCTGCAGGTGTTTTACCCCAAGGACAGCTACAGCCATCCTGTGCAGCTTGACCTCCTGTTCCGGCAGGTGAAGTCCTCTCTCCCCTTTCTGCCTCAGGGAACTCAGCAGGGCAGTGTGGACGCAAAGATGAGCTAGCTGCAAAGCTTGCCTCTGCATGCTGGGATTTGGGGTCCTTGACCAGGGTGAGGATGGGCAGCTGTTTTATTGAATCTCCCCCTCCCATGGGCAGGGTCAGTGAGCTCACAGTTCAACCTAATCAGAGTCATAGTTTGTCTGAGCTAGACATGGCCCAGAGATCAAATGTAAACGCCCTGTATAGATTAGGAAACTGTGGCCTAGGAAGGGCAGCCTGGATTGTGGGGATGAGGAGAAAGGAGAGGGCCCTGTCAGTGGGATCTGATTTACACAGATGAACCAGCTTACAGATGACCCCACTGCTGCAAAATGGGACCCCCCCACATTGCCACTCACCCTAGTATAGTCCAACCTGAGTCCCAGCTGGGGGAGTCCCATGTGCTGCCTGCATCACAGCCTGTTCCCACAGATCCTGCATGACACACTCTCTGAGGCCTGCCTGCGCATCTCTGAGGATGAGAGGCTCAGAATGAAGGCCTTGTTTGGTATCTCAGGGGAGGGGATGGTATTGATGGGGCAACCAGTCAGAGGCACGACCAGCCCTGTCCCAGAGGGAGACGGAGGCTGACAAGCCCAGACCCACCATCTCCCAGACATGTGCCTCCTTGCTCTGCTTCTCTGGCCTCTCGCATGGCTGGGCTGCATGTTTGGGGTTGGCAATGCCTGACACACTGTGTGTGCTGGCCATCTTGTCCATTTCTGGGTTTCAGTTTCCCATTATAGACACTGGTCAGATACCTTCTTGCTGGGTATCAGCCACCTCCCTCCCTGACATCCCCGAGATGGGGGCTGCCAGGGGAATGGGAGGGGGTCCTCACCAGACCTGGCCTCCCATAGCCCAGAATCAGCTGGACACACAGAGGCCCCTGGTAACAGAGAGCGTGAAGCGGGCCGTGGTCAGTGCTGCACGAGACACCTGGGAGGTCTACTTCTCCCGCCTCTTCCCTGCCACGGTGCGAGTCCCTCACCTGCCCCCTACCTGTCCAGAGGATTCAGGGATGAGACAAGAGGACCCTCACATGCCCTTCATCTCTGCCCCAGGGCAGTGTGGGCACTGGTGTGCAGCTCCTAGCTGTGTCCCACGTGGGCATCAAACTCCTGAGGATGGTCAAAAGTGGCCAGGAGGCTGGCGGGCAGCTGCGGGTCCTGCGTGCATACAGGTGACCGGAAGGGGCTGGCTGGAGACTGGGGTACAGACTGGCATCAGCATTTCTTTCCTCTCCACAGCCACTTACCAAGTACCCATGATGTGCCAGGCTCTGTGCCAAGCCATTGAAGCAAACCCATTTTAGACTGGGGAAACTGAGGCTCAGAGAGAGAAGTTGTTTGTCTCAGGTCACACAGCCAGGAAGGGGTTGAGCTGGGAACCCACTCCCCTGCCCTCCTTCCAACCTGCTGCACAGCAGCAGCACTGTGCAGAGGGGCTGCTGTGCTGGAAGTGACCAAACCCTGATGCAGCTGGCGAGGGAACCACTGCCAGCCGTGACACCTTACTGAGTCCTCAGATTCCCTCCCCTGCTAGAAGTCCCTTTTGTCCTTTATAACATGAGGACAGGAATAGAACCTTGTTCACTGGTTGGGTAAAAGCTACATGCTTTGAAAAATGGTGAGAATTTGGTCAATGGGTGAAATAGAGATTTGGGTAGGCACAAATCTAGATTTAGAGCTTGGACCAAAGGACAAAGGGTGGAGAGGGGCCGGAGTGTTGGCCCAAAGGGTGGTAGGAACTGAGCTGAAGCCACAGCCTGGGTCAGAGAGGGGAAGCAGGAAGCTTAGGGTCCTGTGGGAGCTGGCCCAATGGGGCCAAGGTGGGGCTGGGCTTCAAATGGGGCAGGACAGGAGCAGAAGCAGCACAGCAGATGGAAGGAGGGCATCCCTCTGGCTGTGGAGTCCTGCCCTCATGCCACCGGCCCATCCTCCAGCTTTGCAGATATCCTGTTTGTGACCATGCCCTCCCAGAACATGCTGGAGTTCAACTTGGCCAGTGAGAAGGTCATCCTCTTCTCAGCCCGAGCACACCAGGTCAAGACCCTGGTGGATGACTTCATCTTGGAGCTGAAGAAGGTAAGGATCTTCTCACAGGTCTTCCCTCCACCCAGGCTGAGGGCCAGCAACAGGGCTCTCCCACCCCACATATATACTAGCCTCACCTTCCTGGGAAGTATGACTGTGTCCATAGACTTCTGTCTACCTTCAGTCCTTTGCACTAGCTGTGCCTTCCACTTGGAATACCCTTGCCCCCTTTTGCCTGCTCCTTCAGAAAACCTTTACCAATGCCCCCTGCCAGGTGGCACAGCACCTCCTCTGAGCTCTGCAGCAATTGTACTCCTCACCCTCCTGCCTTGGCTGCATGGCCCACCCACTGCATCTCAATCTCTTTCCATCCCCTCTGCCCACTCTTAACTGGCAGCCCCCAGGCCTAGGGCAGGTCATCTCTGTGCCCTAGGCCTGAGGAAGACTTCAGCAGGAAAGTCAGTGAGGGCTTGAGTGGGGAAGGCCTATGTGTGTGCCCTGAAGTCCATCTGGGTCCCTCAGACTCACCCTCCAGCCCTTTCTTCCACCCAGAATGCCCTTCCCTCTTCTCACCTGATGAAGGCTCCCTTCCCTGATGAGTCAGGAAGGATGTGAGGAGCAGGGTTGGCCCCAGGCCTCTGGGAGTGGGGTGATGGGGCTGTTGCCCTCAACCTGCCCCTGGCTGACCCAGGACTCTGACTACGTGGTCGCTGTGAGGAACTTCCTGCCTGAAGACCCAGCGCTGCTGGCTTTCCACAAGGGCGACATCATACACCTGCAGCCCCTAGAGCCACCTCGAGTGGGTCAGTGCCACTGGGGTGGGTTGGGGGCAGGAGGCGGAGGCTGGCCAAGGAGGCCACCCTGGCAGATGCTGACCCAACCTGGCCCACAGGCTACAGTGCCGGCTGCGTGGTTCGCAAGAAGGTGGTATACCTGGAGGAGCTGCGACGTAGAGGTCCCGACTTTGGTGGGTGCCCCAGAACCTGGAACACCATACAGGGTGCATCCTAGTTTCACGCACTCATGCTGCACATGCACAGTGAGGGTTTCTTGGTGCCCAAAAGTGGTCTGGGCTGGTCGGGACTCCTAAGGTCCAGGCGTGGCCTGTCAGTATCTGTTGGTGGCCAGACAGTCCAGCCCTCTGCTTTGCCTGAGGGGTCTCTGTGGGCATTTCCATGTTTGTGTTTGTGGCCTGAATCTCTCTCTTTTTTTTGTTTCTTTTTTTGAGATGGAGTCTTGCTCTGTCGCCCAGGCTGGAGTGCAGTGGCGCCATCTCGGCTCACTGAAAGCTCCGCCTCCCGGGCTCACGCCATTCTCCTGCCTCAGCCTCCTGAGTAGCTGGGACTACAGGCACCCGCCACCAGGCCCGGCTAATTTTTTGTATTTTTAGTAGAAACGGGGTTTCACCGTGGTCTTGATCTCCTGACCTCATGATCCGTCCGCCTCCGCCTCCCAAAGTGCTGGGATTACAGGCGTGAGCCACCGTGCCCCGCCCTGAATCTCTCTTTATGTCTCCACATGACCTGAGAGTCCACAAACCCTGCTTTGCCTTTTTGCTTCACTTCCCCGTTATGGTCCTGTGGCCCTGAGAAGTATCCCTTTCCTTCCCTGAGCCTGTTTCCTCATCTGTAAAATGGCTTTGATGGCCTGGCCTGCCTCACACAGTTCTAGAGACAGATAAAGAAGGTACCCAAATCTCCCTAAAGGACTCCCTTAGTCACAAGGCAAGACCCTCCTGTTTGCCTTAGACCTTTTACCCGCCCCTAGGCTGGAGGTTCGGGACCATCCACGGGCGCATTGGCCACTTCCCTTCGGAGCTGGTGCAGCCCGCTGCTGCCCCCGACTTCCTGCAGCTGCCAGCGGAGCCGGGCCGCAGCCGAGCAGCCGCCGTGGCCGCTGCTGTGGGCTCTGCAGCTGCTGCACAGGAGGTGGGCCGCAGGAGAGAGGTGAGACCAGTATGGGTGGGGTGGGGCGGGGTAGACCAGGGGGAAGGGACCGCTGCAAAAGGGGTGAGGCGAGTGGGGATAAGGTGGGCCACAGGCCTGGTCAGGCTCTTGGGGCGTGGCTGATCTTGGACTAGGGTGAGGGTGAACGAGGTAGAGTGAGCCGGAGGTGAGACCCGGAAGATGGGACCAGAGAAGGTTGGAGGTGTGGCCAAATGGGGTAGGGAAGGATGAGGATCAGTTGGTTTTAATCAGTCCAATGGGGTCAGACCAGCCTGGGCCCACCAGTAGGTGAAGTCTACCTGGGATGGGGTGGGGCCAGGTGAGTGAACAGGGTCGGTTTGTGGAGCTAGCGAGGGGTGGGGTCAGCTGTGACAGGGCAGTTGGGGAAGTCAACCCCGGGCAAGGGCATGGCCAAGTGGGGCAGGGAGCTGGGTTAGCCCAGCAAGTAAAAGGCGTGGGCGGGCTGAAGGGGTGAGAACAACGGGATGCAGCCGGGTCCAGATGGATGGGTGGGTGGGTGGCTTGAGAATCTGGGTCCTATCAGCGAGGGATTGCGTTGTCAGTTTTGACCCAAGGGCCAGGCGTGGTGTGGCCAGAAAGGGCCTTCCTAGCTCCGCCTCTTCTGCAGGGTCCCCCAGTCAGGGCCCGCTCTGCTGACCATGGGGAGGATGCCCTGGCGCTCCCACCCTACACAATGCTCGAGTTTGCCCAGAAGTATTTCCGAGACCCTCAGAGGAGACCCCAGTGAGTGGCGGCCCCACCCCTCTTCCCCACAGTGGGAGGGTTCTGGGCTTCTTGCAGCCATCCAAACTGCAGGCTGTCGGTCTTAGAGGCCCCACTTCTGGTGGGAGAGATGAGAGACCACCCAGGTGTGAGGCCCACTTCAGTGCCTGCCTCTGGGGGTCTTCCTGCCTGATAGACTGATCAGAGTGGTGGGTCAAGAACATTCCCATGTGGAAAAAGATGTAGCCAAGGCTTGGGCAGGACAGGTCAGTAGCACCCACCTCCCACTGCAGGGATGGCCTCAGGCTGAAATCCAAGGAGGCTCGGGAGTCCAGAACCTTGGAGGACATGCTTTGCTTCACCAAGGTGTCCAGTCCCGGACCTCAGTTCCCCATCTGTAAAATGGTGATGCAGGGGCCCCGTCCCAGGCCCCTGAGGCCAACAAACTTGTTCTCAGTGAGACCCTCTAGCTCTCGGCACCCTGATTCCCTCCCAAGGACAGCATCTGTCCCCAGTATTGGGCCTGGCTCCCCTTTTGTGACGTGGACCCTCCTGTTATATGGCCTTGAAACACAGTGTGTCCCCTTTCTGTTCTGACGTGTCCCTCCTCCATCATGACACAGCCCTCTTCCCCCACAGACTCCCCTCCAGGAATCCCTCATCGAACTCAGCGACAACAGCCTCAACAAGATGGCCACCGACATGTTCCTAGGTGTGGCAGTGGGACTGCAGCCAGGGCTCTGGGCTGGATGAGATCCAGCACTGTGTGGTCTCTACTGGTTGCCACTGCCACTCCTCCCTGGTCTTCGGATTATTTCCCCTCCCCCAGCTCAGACATGGGACACATTTAAGAGAAAAGCAGCTCCCAGCTGCCTGTGGCCAAGGCTCCCAGGGAGGGGCTCAGTCCTGGGGCTTCCTGGGGTGGGTGGACAACTGGGGATTTGGTGGGTCTGAGTGGGATAGGTCTTTCCTACAGCTGTGATGAGGTTCATGGGGGACGCCCCACTGAAGGGCCAGAGTGACCTGGACGTGCTTTGTAACCTCCTGAAGGTCAGTCCAGCCAACTTTGCCAGATGCCTCCTTTCCTGCTCTGTGGCTCAGTTTCCCCATCTGTCAATGAGTCACAGGACATTAGGGTGGGAAACCTCTCCCATGGTCCAAAAAGGAATGCATCATGCTGATGGGGAGGGGGCTGGGAAAGGGACACCAGGCCTCTCTTCAGGTGCCCACCCTGTTCTTATGTACCTGGTATGTGACATAGCCCCTAGCCTGTCTTTGGTGTGTAACCTCCCTGTCCTCCTTCAGCTGTGCGGGGACCATGAGGTCATGCGGGATGAATGTTACTGCCAAGTTGTGAAGCAGATCACAGACAATACCAGCTCCAAGCAGTGAGTGAACTGGGCTTTATACCCCACCATCCCCTCACTGTGTCTATGCTCCAGAGGGGCCAGTTCAGCCTCCCACCTCCTCAGGCCTGACCCCTCCTGGATTCTCTTCCCCTCACCTTCGTCCTCACTCAATAGAGCACGTGTTTTGAAATTACTTGGTCTGGAACACAGCATTTCTGCTCTCTGAACTTTAGTACCCTCATCTGTAAAATGGCAATGATAATGTGTAAGTCCAGATTCTTAGTTGCAAGTGACAGAAACCCAACTCAAGCTGATTTAACCAAAAGGGAGCTTGTTGATTCAGAGAAGTGAAAAGTCAGTGAGTATGTGGCCTCAGGCATAGCTGGATCCAGGTGTCATTAGGAAGCAGACTTTCTCCATCTTCTGGCTCTGCTTTCCTCTGTGTTGATCATTTCCAAACAGCCTCTCCCACAGAGTAGCAAGGTGGCAGGTCTGGGGTGACAGCTCAGCAATCCCAGAGAAAGCAAGACTGACCCAATATTTGCTGTAGAAATTCCTTTTTTTTTTTTTTTTTGAGTCGGAGTCTCACTCAATCGCCCAGGCTGGAGTGCAGTGGCGTGATCTTGGCTCATTGCAACCTCCGCCTCCCGGGTTCATGCCATTCTCCTGCCCCAGCCTCCTAAGTAGCTGGGACTACAGGCGCCCGCCACCATGTCTGGCTAATTTTTTATATTTTTAGTAGAGACAGAGTTTCACCATGTTAGCCAGGATGGTCTTGATCTCCTGACCTCGTGATCCGCCCGTCTCGGCCTCCCAAAGTGCTGGGATTACAGGCATGAGCCACCGCACCCAGCCTGCTATAGAAATTCTTAAATCCAGGCTCACAGGCCTGAGTTGGTCACATGTTCAACCCTGAACCAACTATGCCTATCCCTAGGCCAATCACTGTGGTCAGGGGCTGTAGTGCTCACATTGATCAAACCTGACTTCCGTGCCCATCTCCAAACCACAGGGATCTAGAGCGGGGTGGGTGGTTTCCCAAAGGAAGCCCAAGTGTTGTTCCCAGACACCAGATATCCCTACAAATGAAACCCTCACACCCACGAGCATGTGAAGATGAATTACTGTGTTCCACTCATGCAGGGCCAGCACACAGTAGGTGCCCAATATGTGCATGCTCTTGTTACCATCAGGTCCACCCTCCTGTCTTCATCTGCACTACCTCCTCACTTGCTCTCCATCTCCTCAGGAATTTTAGAACCACTCAGCTTGTCCTCCTGCTCCTCCCAGCCCTGGGCCTTACCTGGCATGACCTCTACACAGTCTCAGCAGGTTCCCCTTTTCCCAGAAGCCTCCCTAGAGAGATCCCCTACCTGTTGTGAGGCAGAAAAGAGAAGAATAGGAGAGGAAAAAGTCACAGTACTTCCCCTACCTGGGGAAGATGTCTGGGGCCCCATCCTCTTCCGTCCCTATCCCCCATCCTGACTTCTCAAGCAGAATATGCCTTTTGCATGGCTTTAAGGCCCACCTGCCCTGGGCCTCCTCACTGGGCAGGGAGGAGCATCTTCAGGGGACAGGAGCTGCCTGAGAGTTGGAATCTGTCTCAGTTCAATCCCAGGAGGCTCCTGGCACACTCTAGTGCTGTGGCCACCTGTGATGTGGCCCCCGTGTGTCCTTGCAGGGACAGCTGCCAGCGAGGCTGGAGGCTGCTATACATCGTGACTGCCTACCACAGCTGCTCTGAGGTCCTCCACCCACACCTCACTCGCTTCCTCCACGACGTGAGCCGGACCCCGGGCCTGCCCTTTCAGGGTGAGAGGTCGATGAGTGGGGACCCAGGGCTGCATGCTTCTCGCATGGGGACTGGGTGGGCAGCTGGTGGGAGGGGAAACCCAGAGGGCCTCACTTTCACAGGTGCTGAGCAATATTTACTAATATTAATATATTCCCCAAACATTTGTGAGGGCTCCACAGGGGCTAGCGTGGTGGTTTGTCTGATCTAATGGAGGGGGTGGTCAGGGATGACTCCTTGGAGGAAGTACTGCCTTGCATAGGAGGGGTTTCCAGGTGGAATGAGTGACAGGAGCAAAGACCGGAGTGGGAATGTGTGGCACGTGGGAGAAGAGAAGGAGGTGGGCAAGAATCCAGAGTACCAGGGTGCAGCCCTGCCTCTCTGACTGTTGGGACTCAGCAAGGGTATTGAGGGATCTGGGCAGAGGTGGGCCCAAGCTGGTATCATCCCCCTTAGAATATGGAGAAAGGGGGGCCACTCTTCAGCATTGTTTCCATAGCAACCCCTGGGGCTCCCGAAGAAGGAGGCTGGGGCCGCTGTAGTCACCATGGCAGCCGTGGAGGAGATAGGAGACCTTACCCTTCCTGCCTCTGAATGCTTCTCTCTGATTCAATTAACAAACATTCAGCCCACAGATGAATAGACCCAGCTCCCCCATGGAATAGCTCCCAGATGCATAAAGGCAACAGAATGTGCCTTAGAACTCTTGACTCAGAGAAATGGAGCACTGATGCTGGGGTCTCCTGCCCTGGGAGGCCTGAGTGAGGGAGGGCGGTTGGCAGGGTATCCCAGCTGGCATGAGCAGAGCTGCATCACCGTAGCCACAGAGCCTATTGGATACAAGCTCCCCAGTCAACAGCTCAGGGTGACAGCAGTTTCCAGGATCATAGGTTGCCAAGGGGACTGTGGGCTGGAAAAAAAGGTCCTTAGACACATGGGATGTGGGTTCAAATCCAGGTCTTAACCTGTAGCTCTTGACCTTGGGCAAGTCACTGTCCCTGTCTGAACTGTTTCCTCAACTGTCAAATGGGGGAGTAAATGCCTTCCCTACAGCTTGTGGAGAGAATGCAGTGGGCTCATAGTTGGTGGCAAGAGGAACCCCTTTCTCCCACAGTCCACCTTGAGCAAGGCCTGGACTCCCTGCTTCTGCAGGGATCGCCAAGGCCTGTGAGCAGAACCTGCAGAAAACCTTGCGCTTCGGGGGTCGTCTGGAGCTCCCCAGCAGCATAGAGCTTCGGGCCATGTTGGTAAGCATGGGGTGGGAGTGGGTTCAAAATGAATGGGAGGCTGGGCGCGGTGGCTCATGCCTGTAATCTCAGCACTTTGTAGGGCCGAGGCGGGCAGATCACCTGAGGTTAGGTGTTCAAGACCAGCCTGGCCAACATGGTGAAACCCCATCTCTACTAAAAATACAAAAATTAGCTGGTTATGGTGGCAGGTGCCTGTAATCCCAGCTACTCGGGAGGCTAAGGCAGGATAACTCCTTGAACCCAGGAGGCAGAGGTTACAGTGAACCAAGATCGCGCCACTGCATTTCAGCTTGGGTGACAGAGTGAGACTCCATGTCAAAAAACAAACACACAAAAAAATGAATGGGGAACACAAGCCCTGCCCAGAGACCTCTCTGTCAGGTGCATTGCACTCAGGGGCATGCAGACAGGCTCTGCAAAGTCCAGGTGCTCAAGTGTTCCTACATGTGCAAGCCCAGGACCTATTGCCTTGGGAACTCCCACGGCAGGAGACAAGGGCTGTCCCAGATCCCAGGACCCAACCTGTCATCCCTCTCCCACCTACTTATCCCCAGGCAGGCCGCAGTTCCAAGAGGCAACTCTTTCTTCTTCCTGGAGGCCTTGAACGCCATCTCAAAATTAAAACATGCACTGTAAGTGAAGGAATGTCTCCTGCAGCCAGGTACTGAGGGGGCAGGGACAGGGACAGCCCAGGCTCCAGGATGGGGGAGGAGTAAGCCCCCAAGGATGTTGAGCCCTCCCAGACTCTTCCACAGCCCCAAAAGGCAAGACTTATTTCTTAGAAGAGCAAACTGCACCTTGGAGAGGTTAAGCCTCTGGCTCAGGGTCATCCTGCAAAAACGGGACAGAAGCAGATTTTGAACCTAAGTCTCAGACCGCCAGCTGTGTTCTTTCCCTGCCTGAGGCTGATTCTCAGAGACCTCAGAGGATTGTGCGCCTTTGTGAAGAGGGCTGAGGAACTCTACACATGGCTTCCGGGGGCCTGAGTGGGGCCAGAAGGACAGAGGTCAAGCCCAACTGGCATGGCCTCATCTCTTCCGCCCCACCCCCAGGTGGCCCTGGACGTGGTGGAAGAGATCTGTGCTGAGATGGCTCTGACACGCCCTGAGGCCTTCAGTGAATATGTTATCTTCGTTGTCACCAACCGTGGTGAGTGCCAGGAAGAGTGAGCATGCTGGACCCATTCCCATCCCCGGGCCTTGGGCCATGTGGGGCCCTCCATCCAGACTTTAGGGCCCAAGTCAGGTACCACTTCCTCCAGGAAGCCCCTTGACCACCATGCAGAAGGATCTCTGTGTGTACCGAGCACCCCCAGCCCTTTATCTGTCCCTTTCCGCTTTGCTTAGTTTGCCTCACCTTATGGTGAGGGCCCTCTCTCATCCCTCCCTTTGCCCCTCAGGGCATGCTCAATGAGAGGACACGGGCCGTGCCCTCAAGGAGATTACATCCTGGGAAGGTTTCCATTAATAGCGCCGCACTCCTGGAACCTAAAGGTGCAAGCCTTCTTTCCTGTCTCTCATGCCTTACTAATGGCCAGAGAAGCCCCTCCCGAGGTGTCACTATCCCCTCTAGAGGGCTCCTGGGACCCTAGGTGACTGTCACGCATCCCAAAGGCCCTTCCATCTGCTGCTTGGCACTCTAGATCATGGTCTTGCCTCCTGTCACTAGCTGGTCAGCTCCAGCAACCCCTAGCCAGCTCTCCCTACCGCTGCCTCAGCCCTCAGCCGTGTGCCGTCAGTCCTGCCTGCCCAAGTCCAGTTAAGACATCAGGGGAGAATGGCAGGTAACAAAACGGTCCTAATAACCGACATTTATCAAACGGATGCTGTGCCCCAGGCACAATTCAAAGCATTTCAGGCTGGGTATGGTGGCTCATGCCTGTAATTCCAGCACTTTGGGAGGCTGAGGCGGGTGGATCTCTTGAGGCCAGGAGTTCCAGAGCAGCCTGGCCAACATGGCGAAACCCCATCTCTACTAAAAATTAGCCAACCATGGTAGTGCGCACCTGTAATTCCAGCTACTCAGGAGGCTGAAGCACGATAATCACTTGAAGCCAGGAGGTGGAGGTTGTAGTGAGCCATGATCATGCCACTGTACTCCAGCCTGGGTGATGGAGTGAGACTCTGTCTCAAAAAAAAAAAAAAAATTAAAAAAAAAGGCCTGGTGTGGTGGCTCACACCTTTAATCCCAGCACTTTGAGAGGCCGAGGCAGGTGGATCACCTGAGGTTGGGAGTTCGAGACCAGCCTGACCAACATGGAGAAACCCTGTCTCTACTAAAAATATACAAAATTAGCCAGGCATGGTGGCATTTGCCTGCTACTCGGGACGGTGAGGCAGGAGGTTGTGGTGAGTCGAGATCATGTCATTGCACTCCAACCTGGGCAACAAGAGCGAAACTCCATCTTAAAAAAAAAAAAAAGGCCGGGTGTGGTGGCTCAAGCCTGTAATCCCAGCACTTTGGGAGGCCGAGACGGGCAGATCACGAGGTCAGGAGATAGAGACCATCCTGGCTAACACGGTAAAACCCCGTCTCTACTAAAAAAATACAAAAAACTAGCCTGGCTCCTGTAGTCCCAGCTACTCGGGAGGCTGAGTCAGGAGAATGGTGTGAGCCTGGGAGGCGGAGCTTGCAGTGAGCTGAGATCCGGCCACTGCACTCCAGCCTGGGGGACAGAGTGAGACTCCGTCTCAAAAAAAAAAAAAAAGGCTTTTCATTCTGTGAACTATTTTAATCCCCACAACAACCTTATGAAGTGGAGACTGTTAGTCTTTCCATTTACAGGTGGGGAAACTGAGGCCCAGGGAGGCTGTATTAGTTTCCTATTGTTGCTATAACAAATTATCACAAATTTATTGGCTTAAAAAAAACACAAATATATTACCTTATAATTCTGAAAGTCAGAAGTTCTAAAATGAAAATGGCATCAGGGCCAGGTTCCTTCTGGAGGCTCTAGGGAAGAATCTGTTTCCTTTCCCCTTCCAGCATCTAGAGGCTGCCTGCATTCCTTGGTCCATGACCCCTTCCTCCATCTCCAAAGCCAGCAGTGTAGAATCCTCAAATCTCTCTCCCTGCCAGCCTCTGCTTCTGGTCTCACATCTCCTCCTCTGACTCTGACCCTTCTGCTTTCCTCTTATGAGGACCCCTGTGCTGATGATGTTGGGCCTGCTTGGATAATCCAGGGTCATCTCCATCTCCAGATCCTTAATCACATCTGCAGAGTGCCTTTTGCCAGGAAGGTGACATATTCATAAGTTCTAGGGATTAGGACCTGGACATCTTTGCAGGGGTCATTATTCAGCCTGCCACAGAAGTTGTGACTTATCCACAGTCACATAGTGGTAATCATGTAATCATACCAAACCCCCTCTCTTTAGTAAGATTTTACTGCAGGTGTGAGATGGGTGGCAAAAATGTCAGTGCAAGAGAGGAAAACTTGAGCCTCTCCCAGGCTCAGACCCCAATCCTCCCCACCCCCACCTATGCCAGGTGCCTGGCAAGGGGTCTCTCCTGAAGGAGGTCTGCAGAAAGCTACCCACTAGGTCTTGTAGTCTGAGGCCTCTTGTGTTTGTCCTTGTCCCCAGCCTCCTCTGGAAAGGAGCTGGGCCTTCTCTGAGCATAATGCAGGGCATTTTCCCAGATCCAGGCAGGCCACACTCGGGGCACTCTTCAGCAGCCCCTCTTTCCCCGGGAGAAATGGAGCATTACTTAAAGCTTTGCATTGGAGTTATTACCATCTGTGGTCATCAACATTTCAATAAAACATAGGACACCCCATTCGACAAACATGCTCTCCTTTAATGAGGAAGCTGTGTCCCAGAACAGGCAGGTGGCTTGTCTGAGGTGATACCTCAGCTGGGTAGCAGGTTGGGGTCTGTATACATGCTCTGTACAGGTGCACATATGTGTGTGCACATATGCCCCCACCCAGCCCTGTCTCCCTGCTTTCTGCAGGCCAGCATGTGTGCCCACTCAGTCGCCATGCTTACATCCTGGATGTGGCCTCAGAGATGGAGCAGGTGGACGGCGGCTACATGCTGTGGTTCCGGCGTGTGCTCTGGGATCAGCCACTCAAGTTCGAGAATGAGCTATATGTGACCATGCACTACAACCAGGTCAGCACACGTGGGCTTCTCTGGACTCTGGGACCTTCTAGGCTCCCCTGGGCCTGTGAGTCAAACTCCACAGCTGTGGCATTTGAAGTGTTCATGATTCAGGCCCTGTGGATGTCTCTAACCCTGATGCCTCTGCTCCCCTATGTGGTCTCTTTGGAGAAGTCGAAACAGCCCTCACTACCTTTGAGGGCCTTTGTGCATGCCATCCCTCCATCTGCACTTCCCAGCTTATTTAAGTCCTTCCCAGCAAGCTGTCCCCAAACAACACGTCTTCCATTAGGCCCTCTTTGCGTTCCCCTTTCCTTCAGATGTCTTCCTCCTCTGAACATGGGCCTGTCCTTTGCTCCAAGTGCTAAGCCAGGGTTTGCTAGTATTGTCACTTTTGTCTGTGTGTTATTCTGTGAGACTTGGAAGTCCTCTAAGTCAGGATCGTGGAGTTTACAAAGTCTGCGTTCTCTCCTACTGAGCCAGTATGTGTGGAAGTGCTTGAACAGAAAGTGTGTGTTTTTGTGGAACTGGTGCCAAAACTTCAGGAATTGTACACAATATGGTCACGTAGCTTTTGTGGTCACATGGTGTCACTGTTGAAGCATAGCCCTGTGCAGTCCGGCACCATGCTACTCAATGTGAGGCTTGTGGACTGGCAAATCCTCAAGTCCCACCTCAGACCTCCTGCCTCAGAGCCTCTGGAGCCCAACCTGGCGGTCTATTTTGGCAAGCCCTCCTGTGGCTCAAGCACACTCAGTTTTGAGAAACAGCAGACCTGATAGATACATGACCACACTGCAGTGTTGATGCTCTGCTCTCACCAGCCAACCCACATCCTGGCAAGGTTGCTGTGGGGACTCCCTCATGGGCATCAAGGCCACAGCCCTCCCACATCACCCTTATGTGCTTCTGCCATCATTCCCCAAAACCCAGGAAAGTAATAGGCCATCCTACCCCAGAAGAGGATGGGGCTGCAATCATTAAACATGCACGTCCCCAGTCCCCTGCAGCCAAGTGCCCATACGTGTGCCTGCCTGGCAGCCCCTTACCCAGGTGCTCCCTGCAGGTCCTGCCTGACTATCTGAAGGGCCTCTTCAGCAGTGTGCCAGCCAGCCAGCCCAGCGAGCAGCTGCTGCAGCAGGTGTCCAAGCTGGCTTCACTGCAGCATCGCGCCAAGGACCACTTCTACCTGCCGAGCGTGTGAGCACCTGCCCTCCTGTCTCAGCTGGGGTGGACAAGCAACCCTGCCCTCTCAGCCCACCTCCACCCCCCTCAGAGCTGGCTGTCCCCAGGCCCCCAGACTCCCCTCTTATACCAGTGGGGCTGTCTGGGAAGGGGCTGTCCTTGCCTGGGGGCTGAAGTTTTCCAACTAGCCATAGGAGCTGGGACCCTGCCTCTCTTTTGCAAGTTGCTTCTGGTTGATATTATTAGCTCAGAACAAAGGTAATGTTAAAAAAAGGTTTCAGGACACATGTTCCCTGTGGTCCAGGAAATACACGTGGCTATGCAGAAAGATTTAGCCACAAAAACATTCACTGCAATGCTGCTACAAGAGCAAAAGATCAGAAGTAACTTCAATATCCAGCAACAGGGAGGAGTCAAGTAAATTATGGGTGTTAGCCTTTATTTACTTATATATTTAATTAATTATTGATTTTTTCTTTATTTTTTAAAAACGATATACCACTTTTTATAGAGACAGGGTCTTGCTCTGTTGCCCAGGCTGAACTTTTTTATTTTTGTAGAAACAGCGTCTTGCTACTTTGCCCAGGCTGATCTTGAACTCCTGGGCT